GGAAGACAGGTCCATGTTTCCCTTCAAAATAAAACTAGACTTTTTACAGACAGATGTTTTGTTTCACAATAAAACTAGACTTTTTACAGACAGATGTTTTGTTTCACAATAAAACTAGACTTTTTACAGACAGATGTTTCCCTTCAAAATAAAAGTAGACTTTTTACTGACAGATGTTTCCCTTCAAAATAAAAGTAGACTTTTTACTGACAGATGTTTTCTTTCAAAATAAAACTAGTCTTTTTACAGACAGATGTTTCCCTTCAAAATAAAAGCAGACGTTTTACTGACAGATGTTTCCCTTCAAAATAAAACTAGACTTTTTACTGACAGATGTTTTCTTTCAAAATAAAACTAGTCTTTTTACAGACAGATGTTTCCCTTCAAAATAAAAGTAGACTTTTTACTGACAGATGTTTCCTTTCACAATAAAAGTAACCATCTTACTGAGTTTTCATTGAATAATATCTGAATTAAAAATGTAAAAGTTTTAATTTAGATTTTTGTTTGATGAAAGTTCTGAAACTTTAAACTAAAATATTTTCTGTAAATTTTATTTTTATCTCAAAGGTTCTTGTTGGTTCCAGGTTTTAGTCGGGGTCACGTTGAACTGGTTTCAGGTTCTGGCTTTTGGACCTGGATAGTTCCTGGAGGATTAAAACTTTCTTCTTCTGTTTCAGTGAACGAGATCATCAGGAACGACCTGTCCAGCATCTCCGTCCACAGCCACACATAGTCCAGCCCGACCCATCAGAACCACCTACAGAACCTTCAGAACCACCACACCCACCTACAGAACCTCCAGCAGGACCGGCAGAACCCAAACAGGAAGTAAAGGTTGGGACAGTTTCCTGTCAGACTGCAGCAGGAAGCAACAAGCTGTAAATATTTCTACAGAGGTTCTGGTTCTGGTTCTGGTCTTTTACCTGACCTGAGTGACCTTTGACCTCCAGCAGGTCGACCTGGTTCCAGATCAGTTAAGTGCCTTTTGGACCCGAAACCTTTAATTCAGTTTAACTCAAATTAGAACCAAAAGTTCTGAAGTTTAACCAAAGTGTTTGTTTGTTTGTTTGTTTGTTTGTTTGTTTGTTTGTTTGTTTGTTTGTTTGTTTGTTTAAATATGAGTGCCTTCATCTCCACGATCGGCTCTGTGT